ACTTTTCATTTTGTGGGTGCTGCCAGATATATCCTACCCCCTGACAGGTGTCATTATACCAATATAATCCATATTATTCACTTCAACTGGAAGTGGTTTTAATGATGTGGCTGATACAATATCACACAGCCTACAAAGCAGCCTCTGCACCCATACACATGCAGCATTATGCTGCATAGAATTGCCAATTATTTACTACCACTCATGAACTTGAAAGGATTTACAGGAATTATTCTCCAAACGCATTTGGGGAGGCTCAGGTTGACAAACCTGCTCTAGAGACATGTGGTATTGTTTTAATTAACATGTGGCATCACTTCTCTGGACTTTTGCTCTCATGTTTACATATTTCTTTTATTTAACAAATATGACTTGTGTTTTAAAAAATAATTTTTGTATGCGTAGATGTGTGTGTACAGTAGGCATGCTGTACAATGTCTAAACCATATGGGCTTTCTCATATCTTTTGATGCACAAAAGAGAGTACTTTTCAGTCATTGCAATTGTGGAATTGTTTTCTTTATTTATTAATTTATTTAGCAATAAACTAATTTATGAGATATATACAGAGCTGAAAAAAAAACAACAAAAAAAACAGCAGGTACTGGTTTTGAAATTGCAAAAACTTCCTAGAGTCTGCAGCTCTTGAGTTTTTTTATTTTTTAATTTTTTTTTAAGTGTATGTTATTTTTAATAGACATCTGCACGGCAAAAAAAAATATATATATATCCATAAGGTGCTTCGAATTTGATAAATTTTGCCCATGTGATTATTTCATGAAAGTGATTTGGAAGAATCAGAATGGTGCAGGATGTGCCTATTAGTGTTCTGCAAAATAATAACAACAAAGTATTTAACTAGGAAAGGGACACTTAGATTACTCTGGTTTTAAAGTATGTCATGGGATTGCTACCTTAGCCCAACATGCAGAGGTATGTTACCTTACCCAATTTACTTAATCATTTTATCTACCTCGAAATGATGAAGGGCTGAGTCAATCCTGCAGGGATTTAAAGCCAGAGAGTTGAACAGATTCTACTGAGGATGCATTAGTCCACTGAGCTATCTTACCAGCTAAAATATATACATAGAATAAATTATGTATATATTTTGCAATATACTAAAGGGTGCATTTTCACAGATCAAGTGACAAAAAGTGGAACGGGGAACAACTGAAAAATCTACATGTAAATCTTTTTTTATATAGTTATTAAATATATAATGTAAAAATATACATTTTGTTTTTGCGCCTCCTTTTTTTCCCTCTGTTGGTCACTTCTTAATTTATCTGTGCCTCGTCACCAAAGAAAAAAATATATATTTTTTTACGCTACCAGGGCCAGATTGGGAATACAAAGCAGCCCTGAAAAAAAAATTAAAAAAAATAAAATAAAAATCAATGCCAGCCCCATAAGTCACTGTGCCATGTATTGTCACATGTAATACGTACGGCTATGTGTTGCCAACCTAGATGATTGAGTAATATATAAACAGATACATACATATATATATATATATATATATATATCTTGCGAAAGACCCGGCAGGGTCGAAATGTCGATCTTTTTTGCTGTATGTTGAAACACTAAATAAATCACATCATACTTTTTTTGAGACCTGTGTGTGCATCCTGGATTTCTATTGTGTGTATATACACATACACACACACACACACACACACACACACACTGCTCAAAAAAATAAAGAGAACACTTAAACAACACAATGTAACTCCAAGTCAGTCACACTTCTGTGAAATCAAACTCTCCACTTAGGAAGCAACAATGAGTGACTATCAATTTCACATGCTGTTGTGCAAATGGGATAGACAACAGGTGGAAATTATAAGCAATTAGCAAGACACCCCCAATTAAAGGAGTGGTTCTGCAGGTGGTGACCACAGACCACTTCTCAGTTCCTATGCTTTCTGGCTGATATTTTGGTCACTTTTGAATGCGGGCGGTGCTTTTACTCTATTGGTAGCATGAGACAGAGTCTACAACCCACACAAGTGGCTCAGGTAGTGCAGCTCATCCAGGATGGCACATCAATGCGAGCTGTGGCAAGAAGGTTAGCTGTGTCTGTCAGCGTAGTGTCCAGAGCATGGAGGCGCTACCAGGAGACAGGCCAGTACATCAGGAGACATGGAGGAGGCCGTAGGAGGGCAACAAACCAGCAGCAGGACCACTACCTCTGCCTTTGTGCAAGGAGGAACAAGAGGACCACTGCCAGAGCCCTGCAAAATGATCTCCAGCAGGCCACAAATGTGCATGTGTCTGCTCAAACGGTCAGAAACAGACTCCTTTTTTTCACATTGAAATTTGCCAGACTGGTTATGTTGCCTTTGAGAGCGTATGGTAGCCCAGGAATGAGAATTACACCCATGATGTCATATCATTTGCAAAAGTAAACAACCCAAGGTATTACACATGGCGTACGTCCAGTCTTTTTTAGTAGCCACTGAGTCACAAACACTGGCCAAATTTAGCATTAATATTTGTTGTGTGTGAAAAATTCAAAAAACTAAATTCAACACTAATTTTAGCCAGTGTTTGTGGCTAAGTGGCTACTAAAAAAGACTGGACATACCCCATTTGCAATACCTCGGGTTGTCTACTCTTGCAAATGGTATGCCATCATGGGGGTATTTCTCATTCCTGGGCTAACATATTGTCTCAAAGGCAACATAACCAATCTGGCAAATTTTAATGTGAAAAAAAGGAAATTCAAGCCTTATATTTAACTCAGTAATTTTTGAAAACACCATAAAACCTGTACATGGGAGGTACGATTATACTCGGGAGACTTTGTTGAACACAAATATTAGTGTTTAAAAATAGTAAAATGCATCACAGCAATTATATCGTCAGTGAAAGTACAGTTTTTGTGTGAAAAATGCAAAAAACTGCTTTTGTACTGACGATATCATAGTTGTAATACATTTTACTGTTTTTAAACACTAATATTTGTGTTCAGCAAAGTCTCCCGAGTAGAACAGTAGCCCCCAAGTACAGGTTTTATGGTGTCCTGGAAAGTTACATGGTTAAATATAGGGCTTGCGAGCCAAATTCTCTGGACTTTCTGCCTGGGTTGTCGGTCAGATCCCTCAGATTGTAATTGATAAAATGACTTAATTATGTAAAAATATTATATAAATATATTTGTAGAATTTGAATATATATGTAGATATATATATTAATTAATTTATTTATATATAGATATATATATATATATAGATATATATATAAATATCAAAATACAGTTCGAACAAATTAAAACTGGTATATAATTTTTTTAAATTTATTTTTATTATTTTTTATTTTATTTTTTCAATTGTTTAATTTATTATTCTTATTAATTAATTATTTATTATATTATTTTATATATAATTCTCTCTCTCTCTATATATATATATATATATAAAATTAACATCATTATAAGTGTGTTTTAATATTAATATATATATAATTATATATTAATATTAAAATACACGTTTATTAATGATGTATGTATGTGTATATAAAAGTACTTAGATCATTATATATATATATATATATATATATATATATATATATATATATATATATAAAATCTAAGTACATTTTAGTTAATTTAAAAACTGTTTAATAACTTTTGCTAACTTTTAAAAGCTGTTTTTTACAGGCATGAGGGGGACTGCCTGATTAGTTCAGGCAGGCCCCCTGCAGGCACTGCATAAGCTGGCTATTCCGGCCATGTGATCGCGAGGACCCTGTGGTCACATGGCCAGGGGGGCCGGATCGGGCAGAACGGGTCTGCCTGAGCTTCCAGGTAGACCCCAGGATTGCGAAGGAATGGCGGGGACCCGGTAAGTAGTACGGCCCACCGGCGTTTAGGACCACCCCAAAAAGAACGGCATAGAATGCCCGCCATCCTTAAGGGGTTAACTTTAACGGATGCTGACAGATATTTATTAAAATATGGTCATTATTGACCCATTTACCCACATAACAAGCTCCAGCATTAACATTTGTGGATATGTTTGTGTCTATATTTCTGAAAAGAGCCTTGTTTGAACAGAGCCTTGACATGAAAAAAAGCAAAAACAGAAATACAATTTTAAACAATAAATATAAGTGTAATAAAAATTGCTAAAATAATAAGACTATTTTACTGCTCTCTCAAATGTTAACACAATAAAGCAAATGATCTATTGGATGCACAACTTTAAAGCAGAAAAGCTGTAAAAGGTGACTAAAGAAACACGTTTCAAATGGTCATAAAAAAATGGTTACGTTGCATTTACTTTATTGAAAATCCAATGTACCTTGCTAATTAGCAGTGTGCAAGCAGCAATTTCGATGAAAAATCCTATGCGCAATAATGTCAGGCTCTTGATATATTTGTTCCTCTCATTGAAGCAGACCTGATTTGCTCTTGTTTTACAGCACACAGATGGTTTCGCAATAAATTGTACTGTGCATCAATCAGTATTCATTTTGGTAATAAACTTTACTGGGTGTGTATGGCCAGGTTTAGACATGGTTAATAAATATAATTGCCCATAACACCTAAACCGGTGTACTCTTGGGGAAAATAATAACTAATATTTTGATTATTTTTCTTTCATTTTACTTTTTTTTTTTACATTTAAATAGTGATACTACGGAATTTAATTTACAGACGACCACCTAAATGTGTGATATCTCTTAAACCATGTATGAAGAAAATATTCCTACACAACAATATTTATTAAACCACATTTTAATTGCTAGGTAGTGATTAAAATGTCCATTTAAAATATAAACACGATTATTGCTTCTCAAATGTCATGTTTTAGCCTAGCGTGAATGAATATGTTTAATTTTATTTGGATAGAGATTCTTCAGGAATCTCTATGCAGATCATATTTTAAACTTATTATGGTAAAAAATAATCATGATACCTTCAGCATACCGTAAAAATAATTCAAGGTTAATCACTATAATGTAATGTAATTTTATATTTTCTTGTTTTATTTAGGATGTTATGATGCCCGTATTATTCGTTTTAAATTGATGCCAAGAGGAATGGACTTAAGTCCACACAGTCAATGGAACAAAATCTGAGCCTTGTTGAGAAAATAATCCTGGGTGAGTCAGTAGCCCCCATTGTCATCTGGCAAAAACACCTGAGCTACTGTTGACAATAGGAGAAAAGCAACAGGAGAAGAAAGTATAAGGTACCAAAGAGCACATCACTGACCTAAGAAGAAGACACAGATCTTCTTCACCTGAATAAAAACTGTTTTGTGTAAATCAGAAACTCCCCAACCTGTCACCCTGGAGTCGTGGAAGAGGTGGAATGAAGGCAGAATGGTGTGGTGTGAGAAAGGGGTTCAGATTCTTATGACCACAGTAGGAGCTTTTGCTGCATTTGGGCTTATGACAATCGCCATAGGAACCGATTACTGGCTGTATGCCAGGGCCTTCATTTGTAACACTACTAATATATCGAGTGAGGAAGCAACACTGAAAGATAAAAAAGATCCAGGAGGGCTGACCCATTCTGGCCTCTGGAGAATTTGTTGCTTGGAAGGTAACTATGCTGCTTCTGATATTGTAGATATTTTGAAGGGGACTGTTTATTCACTAAAAGTGGTTGACAAGGACTATTTTTTTAGACCACCTCACAACAACATTCTATCAGGAATATTCACTAAATAGAGATAATTAAAGGTAAAATCAAAGTGAATTTCAAATTCAAAGTGGTTCTGTCACAGTCGGGGGACTTGGCAAATTCACAAAGTCCCCTTGAGGTGACATCACTGCTGGTGGTCGCAGGGGCAGGAGAGGGTGAGATTACTTACCTGAACCTGTCCCTCGCGGGTGCCATCTTGGTAGCACTGCCCCTCTTCAGCTCCTGGTACTTCTGATGTTACTGATGTACTTTCACACATGCACAAGAGTAAAGCATTGAGGCCTATGGGGACTGTAGGAGTCTCCATAGACCCAGACAATAACCTGCAGCCGTCACGGTTTGAGGCTGCAGGTCTTAAGACATTGGCTCCACCTTGGGTCAAGAAATGTTAGGTGGAGGAGAAATGCAGAGACAAAGTAGTTCCTACTTTGTCTTTGTATTTCTCTTGACTGGGTTGAAATTTCTGTGAAATTCCAACACAGTCACAATGAGTATTTCATAAAGATGCCACCTTTATGAAATATTAATTTTTAATATGGGGTGACAGTGCCACTTTACGTCAACTATGCTTTCACTTCAGCTTCTATCTCCTTAAACTTGAAATTCACTTTGCATTTTCACTTTAGTAAACAATCCTGTATGAAGTGATTCAATCCACAAAAATTGTTGTTGCTGAGAATTCATATTCCCAAAGAAGGACACTTGGATCAATGGAAATGTCATATATTATTATAACAAACTAACACAAACACAAATAATTTTTTAGTTATGTTTTAATTGTTGTTTTTTTATTTATATTACTGTAGATTATGCAGTTACCATAGCCCTCCACTTCATAAAAATAGTTGTGCAAAAAAGTTGTTTAGCTATTAAGATATTGTGTGTACTGCATTTCAACACTCATTATGTAGTACTCAGTAACGTACAGGCATTTTGGGTATACATTAGAACCCAAAATGGCAACCCAAGTGCTTTAAGCTCTACAGCTTAATGTACTGGTAATGGTATAAATAGTTTGTAGCTTCTGTCTCACTGGCTTGTGTCAAACAATTCCCAAGTGGTCTGACAAATACTGGGACTCTCTCTCTTTGTACCTACTGTCCGGCACCTCTGTTTGGCCAATATGAAAGTTAAACAGAGTATGGTGCTGTGGGAGCCTCAGTATTTCTTAAAATGGTCAAATTTAGTTTGTCACACACTGGATTTTACGTACTATGTAACATCCAGTGTGTGATAAACTACATTTGAGCACTGGAAGGAGGACTCCAATATATTCTTAAATAAATATTAAACACAGAAAATATATCACTATCTAAGAACTGTTTGAATATGATTGCATTAACATATGAATATGCCATTTTTTAAAAAGATAAAAAATAAGTGGCAGTCTTATCAGTATAGGAGAAGTTATGGTGTATTTAGTGATTTAAGAGTTTACTAATCTATTTTAACACTGCTACTAGACTTGCGCAGAGTGAAAAAAAAAAAATAAAAAAATAAAAAAAAATATATATATATATAGTTTTGTTCAGGATGGCAGAATTCATCTTGGTATTGAAATTCAGCTTGGCTGAATTTCAGTACTGAGTACCAACTGCATTTGGCTTTAGTAAATATGAGAATTGCCATTGCGGTCAGAATTTAGTTTTTTTTACTGAATTTTGTCCATCCAGACAAAATCCTGTGTTTAGTGATCATTAACCTGGCAGAGTAGATCAGGTAAGTATAAGTACAATAAGCCTGATAGTCTCACAATAGACTCATGCTAGGATTTTTTTTTAAATTGAACACCATACTCCCCAAAAAAGCAGTTGACAAACAAAAAAAAAGGAGGGGGGGCAATCAAGCATACTTGACTAGGCAGACCTATTGTCCATCATGGCAAACTAAGAAAACTTATATGCCCCCCACAACAAAAAAATTAAATAGCCTTTTCTCTATTCCATCAACCTTTTTTTTCTGGTATCAGGAATGGTACTCCAATGTAAGAACTGAATTGAGCATTATCGGGCTAGAGCATGTTTCCCTGAGATTCCCGGAATGTGGTATCTCGGAAATTGGAATTTTGTACAGTTTCCTGATCAGCTTAGGTTAGCTAAATTGCAGCTATTCCTACAATAAATCTCCAAGTTTATTACTAAAGATAGAAAGTTCACTAAAGATAGAAACTATCATAAGAGGTGTCCAATCAGTTACCGATGTAAGTAAAAGATTAGTGAAGTATTACCCATCTAAAATTCACTTGCGTGTGTCATAAAAATCTGGAGTCATCTTCACAGTGAAAATAATTCAAAATTTAAGACTTTGAGGAATGTCTTAATCATTTTGTATCATCTAAAATTAGAGTTGCAGGTATAGTCTCATTAAAGAGGACCTCCAGTCACCCATTAATGTTAGGGGCAGTTTGTATGTCAGACACAGACACCTTTTGCTGCTCCTGACCTTCAATATTTTTTTTTTAGCTCCTACGATACAGCTATACATGATACCTTTGAGGTACCGGTCAGTGGTTAGCTACAGCAAAAAGCTTATCTGGAGTACAACTGTCAGAAACCTCTGCTGTGCACATAAGGACCTAGTGATTTATCAGAAACACCCAACCCTACCATACAAAGTTAAAATGGTATCATGATTTCTTGTCTGCATTACTTCTTATTCTGGGCATAGTTTACCAGAGGAACTTAAGTTTGTGGATTTACAACAAATAGGGCCCACACGCTGCGGGGGCACATCAGGTGGCCCATGCACTTATGGGCATGTGTCTTCAAGGGTCCAGTTGGGCACTGCGTCCCTTTAACAGCAAGACCTGGCCCCATTAATAATGGCAGCCAGTGCAGGGAGGAAGCCGGAGGAACAGGCATATATTGGTCTGGGAGAGGCTCTACCTCCCAACAGCCTTAGCCAGCAGACTGGACCCCATGAAAGCCACCCTCCTGTAGGAAAGGCCTTGAACAGACTTGCTAATGATACATCTATCACTCTACACCCAGCATGTAATTTTAAAGGCAGAGAAATAGTGCATCAAGACTATACAGGTGGTCCTAGTTTTACGACCTACCTCCTTTACGACGCCTCGCACTTACGATCAGTTCTCTCACAGGGTGGTAAGGGCAAACCATCATCTGAATTAGAGGGATTCCCTGCTCTGCTGCTTCTTCTATGTTCGGGGATGTTGCCCCAAACATAGACGAACGGAACAGAACAGAAAATCCCTATCATCTATATTCTGGGAAATTTATCCGAGCATAAATTAGAGGGATTCCCTGCTCTTATGCGTTTGTCTATGTTCAGGTAAATGTCCCTGAACACAGACATGCGCACCAGAGTGGTGAATCCCTTAATCTATGTTTTAGGAAATTTCCCCGAACATAGGTTAGAGGGATTCCCTGCTCTGTTGCGTTAATCTATGTTCAGGGACATTTCCCCGAACATAGAAGAATGCAGCAGAGCAGGGAATCCCTTAACTCCTCACTTACCGACTAATTCGTTCTATGACCGGGTCATAGGAACGGAACCCGGTCGGTAAGTGAGGCGTGTCTGTACTAACTAACCTGCAGAAATCTTATGCTAATTGAATGAGAGTAATCTCTATGACATGACACCGAAAGGAGTCTCAAAGGAGAGATTGTACATACTGATTGATTATCATTGTATCTAGATTTTGGTGCAGCATGAATCTACAAAAAAAAAAACTATTTTGGTAGTCCTGATATCCAAGAATTCAGTAATATACACTCTCCTTAAAATGTATTTGGATGCAGTACAGCCACCAGGACATTCTTTAGTCTCCTATGAAGGGAGCCTTCTTGAACCTATTGGGGTTTTGCTTGACATATTAAAAAAAAAAAAAAAAATAGTACAAACACGTACCACCTGTGTTAAGATTCCAGGGATGTCATTCAAAATGGGACAGGAGGTCACACATTTAGACTGGAAAAAATAAGAAGGAAAGTTGTTTTTTTTTGTTTTTTTTATTGTAAAAAATGTGGAAATTTCAGCAACTGGATGAATACTTGCAAAAACAAAACATTCAGGCATATAATTTTTAATATGTGGTAACAACTTCTCGATTCAAGGAGAGGTCTGACAGCCAGCCATTCTGGGGTCAAGAATGATTTTTTTCCTAATTTGTTGCAAAAAATTTTTTTTGCCTTCTTTTTAATCAACAGCAAAACAGATGTGAGAAAGGCTAATCTTGTTGGATGCAGTAACAGAAACTTTGAGTCACAGTAATGGCAATTTGTTCACCCATCTCATTAAAAAAATGCCCACTGACTTTTTCCTTTCATTTTTTTTAAGTAGCATTACTAGCAGCTTAAGCCATGGGAGTTTGTGAGAGAGTGTGCAAGAAGCAGAATTTATCATAATTAAGATGTTTTAATGAGTGATCATTTATGGAAGAAAGTAAAAGTAAAGTGAGTAAAGTACAACTCAGAAGACACAATTGTACATGTAAAGAAACACACTGCAGCCCAAACAGGTACGCCAAAATGACAATATTAGATTAACAAAATGTTACACAATCTTCAAAGAGCCTGTGATAACATTAAATCACTATGAAATTTATGATGGGATGAACATGGAGTTGCATTACCATTAGTTTCACCTCTTCTGAGAAAATGTCACACCGTCTTGTGGAAGAAATTGGCACATCTGTGCCCTTTCTATAGTGTCCACCGTGAAGATTACATCCTATTTCATTTGTTCAAACACCATTTCTACATAATACTCAATTTAAGCCATGCGCTGTAACTTTTAGATATATAGTTTAAAAATTAAATTTAAGTAATAAAGTTTCACTGTAGTGGTTTCACACACCAAGATCTCCCGCAATAAAAGGAGACTGGCAGCACGGAACACACCGGTGGAGCGGTAACTGGAAAAGGATACATTGTATACAACAAAGTATCATATTGGAAGTGAATACTGAAACGGAACACCCAAGTACCCAGTTTCATATTAGACAACCCAGGACTCTACTGTTGATTGGACTTTGTAATATATGTGTGCAATAATTTCTCTATGTGAAATTAAGTGTTACCGCTGAATACTAATGCAGGGGATTATTCACTAAGCGCTGCTATTTGATTTTATGTATTTGAATTGTTGAGAATTAGGGAATATTCTTGTTTTGTGGAGCTGCCATACCATTGAATATCTAAGCATTGTTACTATTTTAAGAGTTTAAAATATGTGACAAAACCCATATCACTGTTACTAGTGCACTGTTTAGTCAATAAGACACTATCAGATTATTAACCTACATTCAACTTCTAATACGTATTGTGCAATTCTCCAAAAATCACATCAAAGATGGAATTTTTTTGTACCAGATTCAGTGGAGCGCTTAAATATGAGAATACAACTTAATAGTATACAGTAGCTAAGTCTAGTAAAGAACAAACACCTTATTCACAGTGGCTGCCCTTCAAAAATGCTGGTGCAACTGGCCCTAATCAGATAAAAAAAAAAATGTAAACTATCGTTGGCACTGAAAAACAAGGCCTGATTTCAGTGGAGAGTTACTGTTTAAAGAGGCAGACATAATTTTGAAAGGACAGAGATGTATACTGACTTAAAGAGCCTAATTATAAGAAAATATTCTCTTTCTAGAGCAGTTACTATGCTGTCATGGACCCCATGTGAAGCAAAAAAAATCTATGTACAGTATCTCACAAAAGTGAGTACACTCCTCACATTTTTGTAAATATTTTATTATTTCTTTTCATGTGACAACACTGAAAAAATGACACTCTGCTACAATGCAAAGTAGTAAGTGTACAGCCTGTATAACAGTGTAAATTTGCTGTCCCCTCAGAGTAACTTAACACACAGCCATTAATGTCTAAACCGTTGGCAAGAAAAGTGAGTACACCTCTAAGTGGAAATGTCCAAATTGGGCCCAAAGTGTCACTATTTTGTGTGTGCCAACATTATTTTCCTGCATTGCCTTAACCCTCATGGGCATGGAGTTCACCAGAGCTTCACATGTTGCCACTGGAGTCCTCTTCCACTCCCCCATGATGACATCACAGAGCTGGTGGATGTTAGAGACCTTGCGCTCCCCCACCTTCCGTTTGAGGATGCCCCAAAGATGCTCAATAGGGTTTAGGTTTAGAGACATGCTTGGCCAGTCCATCACCTTTACCTTCAGCTACTTCAGCAAGGCATTGGTCATCTTGGAGGTGTGTTTGGGGTTATTATCATGTTGGAATACTGCCCTGCGGCCCAGTCTCCAAACAGAGGGGATTATGCTTTGCTTCAGTATGTCACAGTACATGTTGGCATTCATGGTTCCCTCAATGAACTGTAGCTCCCTAGTGCTGGCAGCATTCATGCAGGCCCAGACCATTACACTCCCACCACCATGCTTGGCTGTAGGCAAGACACACTTGTCTTTGTACTCCTCACTTGGTTGCCACCACACATGCTTGACACTATCTAAACCAAATACGTTTATCTTGGTCTCATCGGACCACAGGACATGGTTCCAGTAATCCATGTCCTTAGTCTGCTTGTCTTCAACAAACTGCAGACTTTCTTGTGCATAATCTTTAGAAGAAACTTCCTTCTGGGACGACAGTCATGCAGACCAATTTGATGCAGTATGCGGCGTATGGTTTGAGTACTGACAGGCTGATCCCCTACCCCTTCAACCTCTGCAGCAATGCTAGCAGCACTCATATGTCTATTTCCCAAAGAAAACCTCTGAATATGACGCTAAGCACGTGCACTCAACTTCTTTGGTTGACCATAGTGAGGCCTGTTCTGAGTGGGACCTGTCCTATGAAACCGCTGTATTGTCTTGCCCCTTTTTTGTGCTGCAGTTCAGTTTCAGGGTCTTGGCAATCTTCTTATAGCCTAGGCCATCTTTATGTAGAGCAACAATTATTTTTTTCATATCCTCAGAGAGTTCTTTGCCATGAGGTGCCATGGTTAACTTCCAGTGACCAGTATGACAGCGTGTGAGAGCGATAACACCAGATTTAACACACCTGCTTCCCATTTACACCTGAGACCTTGTAACACTAACGAGTCACATGACACCAGGGAGGGAAAAAGGCTAATTGGGCCCAGTTTGGACATTTCCACTTAGGGGTGTACTCACTTTTGTTACCAACGGTTTAGACATTAATGACTGTGTATTGAGTTATTTTGAGGGGACAGCAAATTTACACGGTTATACTTTACATTGTAGCAGAGTGTAATTTCTTCAGTGTTGTCACATGAAAAAATATAAAATATTCACAAAAATGTGAGGGGTGTACTCACTTTTGTGAGATACTGTATGTCCTAGACCAGGGGTTCTCAACGTTAGTCCTCAGGACCCCATACCAGTCCAGGGTTTAGGGATTACCTGGGTGTGTCTAAGGTGTTTAGAAAAAGAAAAGAAAAAACACCTTAGAGTCTAAGGTGTTTTTTCCCCTTTTTCTAAACACCTGAGACACACCCAGGTAATCCCCAAATCCTGGACTGGTAGGGGGTCCTGAGGACTGGGTTGAGAACCCCTGTCCTAGACTAATGTTCAAGAGTTCTAAGTATAGGTAAGTGTTAAAAGCTTGGAAGCTAAGCTTGCCCCAAAATTCCTATGTCTAATATCTCACATAATATGAGCATAGAAACATAGAATGTGACGGCAGATAAGAACCATTCGGCCCATCTAGTCTGCACAATTTTCTAAATACTCTCATTAGTCCCTGACCTTATCTTATATTTAGGATAGCTCTATCCCACGCATGTTTAAACTCTTTTACTGTGTTAGCCTTCCAGCTGAAGTGGTAGAAGTTATTCCATTCATCCACTAACATCTCAGTAAAGTAATACTTCATGATATTTTTAAATCTTTGCCCCTCTAATTTAAGACTATGTCCTCTTGTTGTGGTAGTTTTTCTTATTTTAAATTTAGTCTCCTCCTTTACTGTGTTAATTCCCTTTTTGTATTTAAATGTTTCTATCATATCCAGGGCCAGCGCTCCCCTCCTGCCGGTCTCTCAATGTAGCGTGGCCGGGCCGGGCGGAACGCGGGACAGGAACTTTTCTTTCCTGTACCCTGCCACCGGCGGACTGAAGGTAAGTGCTCACTCAGTACAGGAAACAGAGGTTCCTGTCCCGCGTTCCGTGCCGCCCGGCCACGATACATTGGCAGGAGGAACAAAAGAGGAGGGTAAGGACCACTGGGGGAGATGGGGGGTGGAATAAGGACCACTGGGGGAGGGATAAGGATCACTGGGGGGGAATAAGGACCACTGTGGGAGAGGGGGGAGTAAGGACCACAGGGGGAGGAGTAAGGACCACTTGGGAAGGGGGTAAGGACCACTGGGGGAGGAGGGGGGAGGTCCTTTAAGGGGTTTGACAGAGGGAGGACCACTAAGGGGTAGAAGAGGGGAAGGACCACCAAAGGAGGGGAAGGACCACTAAGGAGAAGGGAGAAGGGTAAGGACCACTAAGAGGGTAAGGACCACTGAGGGGGGGAAGAGGCTAAGGGCCACTAAGGAGGGAGGAGCACTATGATTTAAAATAAAAATAAAAAAAATAAAGGGCTGCTCCCCTCTCAGTCCCTATCCTACTCCACAAACCCTCTCTTTTACACTACACACATACACAATGCATCCCCCCCACACACACACAGAAACATACAATGCATCCCTACTCACACACAGACACACTTGAAACACACAATGCATTCCTTATGCTCACACAAACACTCATTCTCTTACACACAGAAACAAAATGCATCTCTTACACACTCAATGCACCCCTTACAGACACACACTGCATTCAATTACATACACAATTACATACACAGAAACACACCTTGCATCCCTTACACACACACACACACCCTATACACTACATTCTATAAGAACACACACACATTACATCCTCTACAATAACACATCCACTACACACATACACTCCACTCCCTGTGAGAGAACTCATTGGTGGGCCATGTAGGCATATTCACGGTTAAGCTCAGGGGGCCCAGACCTTTAGCTGTGTAAGGGGCCCCATAAAATGGAGCTGCTTCCTGTTCGTTAATTGTTGTGAGCACTGGTACAAACAGTCTCCAGAGAGCCTCATCTACACCAGACCTGTAGAGCCAGACTGAGCCCATCATCAGCCTCTTGTCCTCATCTGGTGGTAAGTAGGCAAACAAATATATTATTAGTGACACTAATCTCTAATTTACCTCACATTAAATGGATACTCTAGTCACCAGAAGCACTACAGCTTAATGTAGTGGTTCTGGTGTCTATAGCCTGTGCCTGTTAGGCTTTTTAATGTAAACACACAGATAAAAGACACTTTGTGCAGACTGGCATTGTCCCATATGGCAGAGCATATGGGCGGGGCATTATGATGTCACATGGTGGGCAGGACATATGGGGGGGCGGCAAATTTATTTTTGCCTAGGGCGGCAAAAATCCTTGCAGCGGCCCTGATCATATCCCTCCTGTCGCGTATTTCCTCCAAGCTATACATGTTAAGTTCCTTTAACCTTTCCTTGTAAGTTTTATCCTGCAAGCCATGAATCAGTTTAGTAGCCCTTCTCTGAAGTCCAATCCTCTAAGTAAGGTCTCACCAGTGTTCTGTATAATGGCATGAGCACTTCCCTCTTTCTACTGCGAATACCTTTCCCTATTCAACCAAGCATTCTGCTAGCATTTCCTGCTGCTCTATTACATTGTCTGCCTACCTTTTTAAGTCATCAGAAATAATCACCCCTAAATCACTTTCCTCAGATGTTGAGGTTAGGACATCTGAGATGCATTATCCTGCACGTATCCACATTAAATGTCAGTTGCCACAACTCTGACCATTTTTCTAGTTTACCTAAAGCAGATTGTTAAAACAATGTAGGTGCTCGTAAAGATTAGCGTGGATCCGACACACATTTTGCCTTTGAGACCCTTGTTAGATTTTCGGTACTGGAAAAGGCAGGTAAATTTAACGGAAATGGGCATTTCTTGCCTGCCCTCTAGATAACATTCGGTTAGGCAACAAAACTGTTAGGGAGTATGTCCAGACATAGCCATGCTCCTTAGCAAACACACTATAGAAATTAATATGGTTTAAGATTTTTGAAAATCTTGCTCTCAATGTTAAAGGAAAACTATAGGCACACAGACCACTTCAGCTTAATGAAGTGGTCTGGGTGCCAGGTCCATCTAGGTGTAACCGTTTTTGCTGTAAACATAGCAGTTTCAGAGAAACTGCTATGTTAACTTTAGGGTTAATCCAGCCTCTAGTGGCTGTCTTATTGACAGCCGCTAGAGGCGCTTCCGCGCTTCTCACTCTGATTTTCACAGTGAGAAGACGCCAGCGTCCATAGGAAAGCATTGAGAATGCTTTCCTGTGGACTGGCTGAATGCGCACGCGGCTCTTACCGCGCATGCACCTTCAGCCGATGATGGCGAAAAGGAGGAGGAGAGTTCCCTGAGCCGAGGGAGCCTGGCGGGGGAAAATAGGTAAGATTTAACCCCTTCCGCCCCCTACAGCCCGGCGGGAGGGGGTCCCAGAGGGTCGGGGGGACCTAGACCAGTGTCAGGGTAAGCTGAGCCCAAGGCTCATTGATGCACATTATGAGCAAAGGCTAGCCTGTCTGGTCTGATCACACAGAAGAGCTACTGTAGCTCAGATTGCTGAAAAACGTAATGCTGGCCATGACAGAAAGGTGTTGGGACACAAAGTGCATTACAAATATAAAATCCTGATATCCACATAATGGAGAAAAAGAAGAGGGAATAAGACAGATTGTGTAATCAATCAATAAGTGAATTAATAACCTAGCTCTAAAACTTGAAAAATTAGGTATTCCCCAAATCCTATAAAACATAAGAGCAATACACCATAAAATATGGTGTGGGTATCCAGTAGCTGTAAATTGGAAGTGAAATACACGTAATAAAGTTAGATGTAAAATAGAATACAGATAATTAGCAATGGAATATACAAATGTGGTATTCCAAATAATATGCAGAATAGTATTCAGGTTACTAGTTGATAAAATGGAGAATAGCATGCACAAGTATATCACAAAGTGCATTACAGTTTGCTTTGTATGGGGCTGCATATCTGCAGACTGCTAAAGTGCCTGTGATGGCCCCTGTCCTTTAATGGGGAAAAGAGCATCAAAACTGGACAATGGCGCAATGAAAGAAGGTTGCCTGGTCTGATTAATCACTTTTTTGTTTAGATCAGGTGGATGTTAGGGTGCTTGTGTGTCGTTTACCTGGGGAAGAGATGGCAGCAGGATGCACTATGGGAAGAAGGTAGGCCGGCAGAAGCAGTATTATTGCTCTGGGCAATGTTCTGCTGAGAACCCTCTGATCTTGGCATTCATGTGGATATTACTTTGACACGTACGACTTTCCTAGACAAACCATGTACACCCTTTCATGGCAATTGTGTTCCCTGATCGCAATGGCCTCTCTCAACAGGATCCGTCAACACTACAAAAAATGTTCAGGAATGGTTTGAGGAACAT